CGAGATTATTTATTCTATCACTTTCTTCTCTCTCTCTCTCTCTCTCTCTCTCTCTTTCTCTAAATGCTTTCCAATCCGTTTCCCGCTTTTTTCCCCCAATCTTCTTCTTCGTTTAATTTAAAACGAAACCGGATAATTTGCATATCTCGAGATATTTTTACTATCTCGAAACTTTCACCTGTCCGTCAGTTTTCTGGTTACAATCTCGATGTCCTTGAACTTTTCGCTCCAACCCAAAGAATTTAGTTTATTCATCTCTCTTACTTTTGATTTTAACGTTTCCACCAAATGTTTTTACAACAAAACAGAGAAAGAGGAAAGGAGTTCTCTTTTTTTTTTTTTTCTTTCCTCCTCCGAGGTTAAATTACACGTCAATCGGGGCGAGAAGTTCCATCCCCGGGAAATAAGAATCGAAAATTGTTACGAAATATAGATTTCCTTAACTTCGAAATCGAAAGGTCACGAACCGAGGCCACGCAATTTTCTCAAACGACGAAACTTTTCAATTTCGGTCCATCCACCCCTCCCTCGCCGATATTTCCAGATTTCATCCCGCGGAATCGGGACGAGGAGGAGGGATGGGGAAAAGTTGTTTCGCAAAAATAAAATTTTTCATATTATACCCTCCCCCTTTCCGCGACTATCAACGAGTAAAAATTACGAAAAAGTAGGTGACCCCTCCCCGCGGATACTGCACACAATCTCGCAAAAATGTCCGGAAATCATATTCAAAAGGTATTCGTATGTGGGCCATGAACGAGCCCCAGGGAGTATGTCAGAATTCTCGTTTCGTAAGTGAATGGCGTCCTTTCCAATAAGAAAGTGGTCCCGATACCAGATTCTTGTGGTAATATCTCGATTTTTGGAAAACTGTTACACGACCGTTTAATCGATCGAACTCGTTTTCCTCCCCACCACCCTCCTTTTTTCCTTTTTCAAACAAAGCCCATTTACATCCTTACGCGGCCACGATATATCTGAACCGATCCAACGATGAGTTTTTGTGATTTACCGATTTTAAACGGTTCGTAATTAAAATAATTTGTAAAAATTTTATTCCAACAGATTTTTTAAAAATTTGCGCAAATATCCGCAGTCTGCTCTAAGTTAAAATTTTATCATTCGTATAAATTGTTAATCCAAGTTCGGTTTAAATTTAGTAGATTCGTGAACAATGCCGCGCTTTTCTTCTTCGCGTTACATAAATCGTTCGCTAATATTTGCCTCTCCACTTATCTCTTTTCATTTGGAGAAGAGGTGTCGTAACAGGAAAGCGATAACGAAGAGGAATACTGTTTATCGCGTTGGGTGAAACTTGGAAGATCTCGTTCGTTCCTCGACTCGAAACAAAATCACGAGAAAGAGGGAAACGTGTTGTTTGTAACAATTTAGACGGATGTACACGCGATACGTGTTAATTATCGGACTATCGGAGATTGGAAAGTCGTGAAATATTATCCGTATTATCATAGAATAATGGCAACAAGTCTACTTTGCGAAAATCGAATTCTATAGATGATTAGATTAATTACACCTGATTTCATGGTTACCGATGGTAACTCCAAGAGATTTTTTCTTTTTTTCTTTTTTTTTCAATAAAATCTTACGCAATATCACCACGATCTTTCTAATTATTGCGTATTATTGCACGATAAAGTGTCGTAACGTTGCATTTAATTAATTGACAGTAAACTGGTTTTACAAAAAAATGATTCGTTTCATATCCAATAATCCGTACTGATACGTCACGCTATAAGTGAGAAAGAAAAATTCTTGGTCAAACTTGATGAGTTTTTCATATTATCAAACGCTTACACGTAGTTATGCCAAATATTTGAAGTGAAAGTAGGATAAACGAACAGTTTATTCCCTACTCTCCGAACTTCAAAAGTTTGAAGAAGATATTCTCACCGAAGAAGAAACTCCTCCTAAAAATTATTTCGATACTCTTTCGAATCGGATGTCTCGCCACCTGAAACATTCTCGCCTTCGTCTCACCGATATCGACGAATGAACGCGATAAATAAAAACGACTCGGATCGTCGGTGTTATTTTCACCGTTCACTTACGTCAACGAACCGTGATTCATAGACGAAACGGCTGCGAAAAAGTTGAGGAAGTTGTTGCCGATTCGAAAAGAGAATATCGGAAAGGAAAGCGGCCCTGATGGCCCTGCGCAACAAGAAAATTTCTCTCATGATACGTGAACGCACTTTCCGATCTAGTGTGACGCCACGACACGAGCGAGAGCGTGCATCAAGTGTTAAAAATTTCCTCCATCCGCGCGAAAAAGGAATACTAATTTGTAAAATATGTCGACGAGGATGCATCGAGGACTCTGTTAAATATTTACAAGTAAATTTGACACCAACCGCACGATCCTTTCTAAATACAATTAATTTATCGATAAAGTTACGCAAAATTTTATCGATCGATTAATCGTTCGTCCAATAAATCGATAGAATAATTTTCGTTGGAATTAATTTAAGTAAGAAGCTATTAAAAATTTTATCGATCTTTAATTCGATGTTGATCGAACGTTGTTGTTTTTAAACGTCGTTCTTCTCTTTCTTTTTTAAATATTTAATCGAACGCCTTTGCACAACCAACTTCACTCTCTCAACAATCGAATTATTCATTTATTCGGCTAGATTGAAACTTAATTGTCCGGCACCATCCTAAGATATAAAACACCATTTATCTCACTTTACGCACGCCTCGCGACAAATTGTAAATTGTATACGGAACGAATTCATTTGGACACATCCGCAATACTGTGAATGGAGGCAAAGGTTCCTTCGTGCCGAGATAACTGCTCGTCGTTCTCGCTCTCTCTTTCTCTTTCTCTTTCGCTCTTTTCCCATTCGTCTTACGATTTTTCCGCTCCTCTGCGAAAGTAAATTTTATTTAATACCAATCGCGAAAACAACTCGTTAGTTTGATTACTGCTTCGTCTCCTTTACCTCGTTTGCTCTTGAAAGCTACACTATGCCCAGACAGACATCTTATCTGTAAAAAAAATCGTCCCGTACTAATCGTATTCCCGCTTCTCTCGCACTTCTTTCTCCAACAATGTTTTACAAAATTTCAAACTTTTGATCTCGACTAATCTCTATACCCTTTTTTCTCAAATTCTTAGATTCAAGGAAACACAATTCTATTTAAATATTGAAAATTTTCTAATCATTTCCGTTCTCTCTTCTCCACCTTCTTCCCTCAAACCCTCAGATTCCACCACGGATATACTTTAATCGGAATCGGAAAAAACATTGGCTCGATACAATTTCACCATTCGCATTCCTCGTCCACGTATCCCTGGTCATTTCGAGGATCGTTTCGATTAATCGTGAACGACACACGGCGTTGGAAACACAGGTCGTCGGCTCGCGACGATCGATCGGCGGCCAGGGTGCACGTGACAGTTTATTCGGCCAAATCGGGTGTACACAGCATTCTTATTCAGGGAACACGGGGCTCCAACTTAATTACACCACGATGAGCATTTACAACGCGACAGAGGTAAGAGGCATTTGTCTCGCAACGCTAGCGCGAGACCGTTAACGACAAATTGCGAATTGCATTCGGAACGAATTCATTTGCCCACGTCCGGAATGGCGAAGGTTTCTCATGCCAGGCCAACACGACCGTCCCTTCTCCCCTCCCCTCCCTTCCCACCGTGCTTCGCTTCGTGTTTCACACCGGTCCTCGTGGCGCTTCGACCGATGTGCTTCGTCCACACCTCTCCTCTCTTCTCCATTCGCGCGACCAGCGCTTCCAATCGCCTCGCGACCGGATCTTCCGGCGAAAGGAACTCCTTGCTGCCTTCGTCCACGGAACCGGAACAGAATCGAGCGAGGACGACGCGTAATCGCTCGACGATTTACAGCGATGAGTGAGCAGTGACGGGGCAGGAAAATTTAATAGTTAAACTTACCTCGATAATTTAATTTTCGTTCGAAACGTGACGATAATAATCGGAAATAATTGTAAACAATGGGTTGAGAGGTTATGTATGTGTGAAAAAGGATCGTGTGCAATATTGGCTAGCGGAACAAATTATTGTATTTAGGTAATTTTGATCAAAAGTGATCGCTTATTAAAGTGAGCTTTGCTCGAGACATTTCGATATTTGGGTTAATGTCTTTCCCAACTCTGCCGATGGGAAATTTAGCTCGCGCTCGGTTTAGAAAGCGCGGTACCGATCGCGCATTCCTCTCCTCTCTGTCTTGGATCAGTTTGATCAGTTCCAGCTCTTCTTTCTTGTCTTTCGTTGATTTTAGGCAATGTGACGCGATTAAATCTTCGAATTAGAAAGTAGAAGAAGAGCGTTATCGTATCGTCGATCGATAGAGAAAGATCGTCGTTATTGATGAGAGACAATGAATAGTACACGAATTATTTTTGTAGCTGTTATATAGATTGGAATCAATTGAACGGCGTGTCGATGAAATTGATCGTGAAAATTTTTTCTTTTTTTCCCAAGATTCTTCGAGGGGATTTGGGGAATAACAAAACACGTTTTGATAGGCTAGAAGAACAAAATTTTCAAGTTGAGAAGAAGTTTTAGTGTCGTTTCTTTTCCCAGATCCTCCAAGATCTATTTTTTCTTTCCCATCTTTCTTCTATTCATTTCGTCTATTTCCTTACACGAGGTTCCCATGCATTTAAAGAAAATCTTCCTTTCTATCTTTTTTCAATCTCTCAAAAAGATAATCGAATTGTTCGAATCAAAGAAACGTATTATGCGGATTGAAATATTACCAAAAGGAAGGAATCGATCTTTCGTTTCGAGAGATTTACCATTAAAAAAGATTGAGAAACACGGTTACCTTAGATATTCCGTTCCTTTTTGCGGGAACGGCGCGATGCAACGTTCGATGACACCAAAGGAATATTTCCTTTCCATCTTTCTTCGATAAGATAATCGAATTGTTCGAATCCGAGAATATCACGCGCATTGACCGAGAAATATCACGAAAAGGAAGAAATTGTTACCAAAAGGAAGAATTTCGTTTCGAGAAATTAAGCATATTAAAAGAACACGGTTATCTTAGATATTCCGTTTCCTTTTCCGGGAACGGCGTGATGCAACGTTCGTTGACACCAAAGGAAATGTTTCCTTTTCACCTTTCCTCGACCGATCCCTTCAATCCTTCAATAAGATAATCGAATTGTTCGAGTTGAAGAATACCAGGAATACCATTATATGCATTGATCGAAAAATATTACCAAAAGGAAGAAATCGATCTTTCGTTTCGAGAAATTTAAAAAAGATTCAGAAACACGGTTACCTTAGATATTTCGTTTCCTTTCTCGGAAACGGCGTGATGCAACAATCTTCGATGACACCAATTGTTCGAATCAAAGAAATACCACGCGCATTGACCGAGAAATATTACCAAAAGGAAAGAAATTGTTATCGAAAGAAAGAATTTCGTTTCGAGAAATTAACCATTAAAAAAGATTGAGAAACAGGTTACCTTAATATTCCGTTTCCTTTCCGGGAACGACGTGACGCAACGTTCGATGACACCAAAGGAAATATATCTTTTTCAGCTTTCTTCGATAAAACAATTATTCAGAATCAGAGAAATATCACGTATCATTGATCGAGAAATTTTACTGAAAATAAAGAAATCGATCTTTCGTTTCGATAAATTAACCATTGAAAAAGATTCGGAAACACGATCATTTTAGATATTCCCTTTCATTTCCTTTCCACCTTTCTTCGATAAGACAATCGAAGAAATATCGCGTATCATTGATCGAGAAATTTTACTGAAAATAAAGAAATCGATCTTTCGTTTCGAGAATTAATCGTTAAAAAAGATTCGGAAACACGATCATCTTAGATATTCCTTTCATTTCCTTTCCACCTTTCTTCGGCAAAACAATTGTTCGAATCAAAGAAATATCACGTATTATCGGCCGAGAAATTTTATCGAAAAAAAAGATCTTTCGTTGAAAATCGATTGAAAAAGATTCAAAAACTTCTTCGATAAGACAATGGAAGAAATATTAGCGAAAAGAAGAAATCGATCTTTCGTTTCGAGAAATTAACCATGGAAAAAGATGGTGAAACACGATCATCTTAGATATTCCGTTCCTTTGCGCGCGTGACGCAACATTGGACGACACACGAACGAGCAAGTTGGAATCGCGTGTAATCGCGACGAGGGGCTACGATTTCTCTGATCGATGGAAGAATGAAAGTTCCGGGTGGGAGATCAGATCTGCTGCAGGCATGATGAAACTGTCGGATGCCAGGGTTCATTGGATGGCCGCGTTCGGTTTCCCATTGTCGTCCCGCGTGCCATTTTTTCGCAGTACCCGCTTTCATGATTCTTTTCCGGCCAGGCTTTCGCCTGTGAACATAATACAAGCCGCGATGAGATTGATTTCATTGTTATCGCGGAAGCGCGATTTCGTTTCGAAGGCACCCGTTCACGCCTGTTAACCGGGAAATTATTTTTTTTTCAAAAGAAAGAGGGAGAAGTGGATTTCGAAAAGGCTCGTTTTTCTTTTTTCAACACCTATTTTACGTAATTAAACGTATTGTGATTTCTATCTACCATGAATTAATATATTAATTTTGTTGAAAAACATTTCTCCAACGTTTTTCTCTCTCTCTTTTTAATCTTCGAAGCGTCGTCGATTTGAAATTTTTCAGAAGATTTTTCTTCCACTTTTTTTTTTTCAATTATATACGCTCGATGCGTCGTCAGCTGGTACGCGATACGGCCGGTTATAACAGATGTGAATCAAGTTCATGCGACAAGGACGCTTTCACGAGCCTTTGGCGGCTCTTTAATGGAAGAATTTTAAACGAGTGAACTGTATTGATTCGATTACTTGAAATAATAATCAGTGGAAGGCAGTGGATACGTAAAAATATGAATACGCGAACGTTCATTCATCTATAAATATCTACGTTTAACGTTAACGCGATACGAAATTTATATTCGTTTCATTCGTCGACAGCACGATGAACTCGTGAGAAGAATCGTACTCCGAAGAATACGTGTCTCGCGATTGTACGATCATGTCTGCCCAGGTAAAATGATTCGATACACGCGTGCACAGGTGTTCGAGGCTCGGAATTCAGTTCTCTCGAATACGGGAGAAAGTACAACTCGACGATCGACCCTGAAGCCGAGGAATATATTAATGAACGGTGTCGAGAAGAGAAAGAGAGTAAGAAGAGCAAACGTAGCCGAGTGAACTTTCTTTTCTTCTTCTTCTTCTTCTTCAACGACTCGTTTGAAAAAAGTATGTGGACAAATTATATTGAAGAAAAAGGATCTAATCTCTCTCTCTCTGTCATTCGAAGAAAATAGACTGAATAAATATGTGTAATAAACGGGGAGGAAAGATTTTGGATAAAAATTGTCGAGAAAATGCGAGGAACGAAAAAAAATCTGCTCTCACCTGTTTTGGCTACGAATAAATTTTCGAGAGATTCACGTTTTCGTAGAGACTGGTGATTGGAAGGGAGAAAAAGAACGTGTTTGCGTGAGGAACGATTACGTTCCGCGCGATAAAACAAAAGTTGTGTCCGGCGATTGGATGGAACGAAGCCATTTCCCCGAACATCGTCACTTTCGCTCGCGGCCACAAACCGATGAAATTTAAATATTTCCATAAGCGCAAAAAGAGAGGTAAGGTAAGAAACGAGAGAATCTCTTTAAACACGTTTATGAACGATTGTTCCGAGGAAAGTGAATCGAGAGGAGAAGAAGAAGTTTGGAGAAGTTGTTAGGAAGATCGGCCTCGTGCGAAACAAATGCGATTTTCTCTTTATCCGAAAGGAGGAAAAAGAAAGAATAAGAGAAAACAATTTTGGGTAAAGTTTTTCGCGCGCCTATCCTGTTCGACATAGATGAGATCAGAAAGGTTAAACGAAATAAATCGAGACAATTTTAACTCCATTCATAAACGCGTATCAAGGTTACCAAGCCACGCGTACGCTTTCACTTTCATTCATCTGATTTCAACGTAATGGAGTATCCACCCCAAATGGAGTGGATATCGCGGCAAAGGATAATTTGCAGGGTTGAATATCCCAAGTTTTTTAAAATTAAAATCCCTCTCGAGAATAACGTCTCCTGTCGCTCGTTCTTTCGAGTTGTACGATACACCAAGATTTCGGCCGATGATTCATTGGAGCACGGTGAAAAGCAAGGTTTTTAAATTGTAAATTTCGATCGAACGCCGAAAACCGCGCCGGCCAAGAATGCCACCGGTTGCGGAGTCGCTTCCTGGCCGACAGCTGACGCACTCTCGACTTTCGAAGCAAGCCGCGTAAGAATCGATGTAAGATCGAAGCGAAGAGAAAACTTAAATTTCGAATAATTTAAGATTCGTTCGAACGACTCGTTCGAGGCCGTTCCACGAATCGAGAACAAAGGTTTCCATCGTTGGACGGTAATATTTTAACCAATGATTCAAAGACCGCGCGCTCGAAAGATATCCGTGACATCACGTAAACGGCATGCTGAATCGAATTAATTATCCCGTTCGCCGAATCATGACGTCGGCCCAAGTTTGCAACAACTCCGTAAACAGGGAGGCAAAGTCGAAGGATGGACGAATGGTCTGGCGATTTCGAATGGAAGAACGGTCATTCACGTGAGAAACGAAATTCGAACGGTCTGGGAAACGGTCTCCGACCGGGGAATAAAAGTACCTTAACCGGCGCGACTGGCTGAGTAGAACCAAGTAGATGATAGACGGACGGGCGAGGAGGGGGTGGGGGAGGAGGAGGAGGCAAGCTGGGTGATAAACTCCGGTAAAACACGAACGCTGTAAACTTTCTCCGATAATGGCCGACATCAAACCAATTTCGCGCCCGCGTCATTACCCGATATATTGTTGACGACGAAGGAAAGAAAAGAAAAGAAAAAAAAAAAACGTTAACGAGGGGTCAAGTTTTTTAGTTTCGATCAGTTGTTTGCGGGAAATATTCGCGGTGAAGAAAGAAAATATTTATACACCAACGTTCGAGATCGTTCGAATTAATAAGTTAATTATATTAATTATAATGTTTTCGAGGGAATCAAAAGTAGGTATAGGGAAACTTTTCAACTGAGCGAGCGAAATTAACCTAATTTCCCATTGGATCTACGGTTAATCTATAACGTAGAACGCAATTTTTTAAGTCCTTGCTTTGCAGAGGATTGAAATCGCGTCGAGTCGAGAAGTTGCGAAAAGAATTAATTTCTACATTTCTTTCTCTTTATTTTCACGCCTCTGGAACAACCTCCTATTCATTCCTGTTCAATTAGAAATTAGTTGGAACAATTTCATCTCGAAACACGAATTTTTCATTTTCCACTTTTCTTTCTTTTTCTTTTTTTTTTTTTTTTCCCTTCTCCCTTATTTCTTCTCGAGGATATTTCGCCCTTCTCAATAAACATTCGTATACATACACCCTCTCTAACTTATGCGTCCCTTGTGCAAATTGTTGAGCGAAACGGGTGGGTGTACGGTATACGATTCTTCCATATTTGTTTAATTTATGGGATCGAAGTAAACGGAAACGAGCTACGAGGCTCGAGCGAGCACTTGATGCGAGGAATTGCATTGTTGGGTCGCGACGCCTTCGAATGCCCTCGTTACAACGCTCGATCATACGCGGGAACACCGTGTTGCAAAAATTCCTCGCCCGCCTTTTTTACGAGGACGAATTTATGGAGGGGAAATGCCTCCACCTCCGGCGTTATTCCTTTTTCCTGAGAGTCGCAAAACTGGCGGGCTCTCGCGAGCCACGTCCCTCCTCTACGTGGTTGAAACAACGCGTGCGTGCATATTCCTGAATATGTTAATTTATACCATTACGTATTCATCGTGTTTCCTCCCCCCCCTCCCCTCCTTTTTTCCTTCTTCTTCTCTTTTTTTTTTTATTTCACATAGAAAACGAAGGAAGGAACTGGTCCCTGCCAATTATTTCCAATAATTTTTATTAATTAATTCGATATCCGAGGCCGAGATATAAAACTTGCAAATTTTTTTCCCTACTCATAACTGTCCACGTATCTCTAAACTGTTCATCCTGAAAATATCCATCCTCCATCTCTTAACTCGTAACGAGAGGTTAATGCAATGAACGAAGAAGAAAGACTCGCGACGGAAACGGAAACGATATTCGAATTTGCGAATATTCGAATTAATAAGGAGTGGGGGAGGGGGAAGAAGAGAAACACGTCGATAACAAGAAACGTCGTCAACTCAGCAGGGGGCTCGATGTCCAAAAATTTCCATCCGTCCGAGGAGAACGAGATTCTTTTCCCTTTTTTTTTTTTTTTTTCGCGACGTTATTTGGCGTCAACAGAAACAACGTTTCGTCGGTGTCAGCACGTACTTTTACCAAGACGTGAGCCGAACACGATGTTAATTCGAGTCCTTAACTCGTCGATACCTAAACTAAACCGAATTGGATAGCAGCTGCGCTCTCTCGTGTATCCAACCCATCCAGACACATTTACCTCGTTTAGCCGGCGAGATCAGGTGCGACAAGGCAACAGCCTCTGATAAATGACTCGGTGTTTACCAGATTTTCCGATATCATAATAATTTCCTCCTAATTAATCCGCGCTACCATCCCTCCTCTCCCCTATATATTGATTTAACAAATTTACCCCTTGGGCCAACCATGATCGTACCATCTCCAATCTCTTCGATCCCTCTTCTCTTAACAATCTATCAGATTAGATCTCTCGTCGATAAGAATTCTTTCCCGAAGAAACGTTTTCTTCTCGTTCGACGATTTCTTTTGGCCGAACAGGAGGAGAAGAAAAGAAGAAAGTTCGAGATGCTGCCGCACCTGCCGCGCATTCCACTCGACGTTGACCCTAAAAATTTCAACTCCTCGATACACGAGGTTCAACTTGACCGTGGAGCTCGACTCGATTCTACCTTCACCTTGGCTGCGAGACGGATTGTTCTCCACACGTGGGGGCCTTGAGCGTGAAAGGGAAGGGACGGCCTCTTGAATATTCAGCGAAAATTTCTGGGCCAAACGACACGAGTTTACAGGCACGAGAGTTTTCGTTCACGAGAAAGTGTTGGTTTCGATTTATCTCCTCTCCCCCCCCTCCCCCCCGAATCGTTTCCCAATATCTTTCGGCCAACGAGTTTTTATCCTAAAGCTTGTTTTCGTAGATTTCGTCCAACAGGTTTTTGGTCACGGGTATGTAATACACGTACGAGAGGATCGAGGAGGCGCAGTGAAAGTTTGGAACGCGAACTCTTCTCTCGCGTGATTCATTTCGCGTGGAACACTTACCTCTTTGCGGCCAACAGAGATACCAATTTGCCTCGCGCTTTGTAATTCAACTTTGCGCACGTCACGCTGTTGTGTGTTAAGCGTGTTTATTTTAAGCCGCTCGCTTAAAATTTAGGGGAGGGAATATAATAAACGAGTTAGTTTTAGTTTTGGAACATTCTCTCTTCCTTCCTTCCTTCCTTTCTTTCTTAAATGTAGTTTAGACGCGAAATAGTTGAGAAAGGTTTGGAAATTATACGCGGATCTTGAAATTTATACGACGATTTATTTATATCGATATTTACCTGTGGTGAAACCTGACTTGTTTGAGTGGCATTCTCCGTCTTCCACGAATAATTATTGGATTTAAACAGAGAAAACTAAATATACCGCATAATTTATAATTGGAAAAAATTACCTCGATATAATAAAAATTATCCGACTCGTCTCCGCTCGATGTTCTCGAATATCAATTTACGCTTACTTTCGTTGCGTAAATCGTAAAAAAAATTTATTTAACCTCCTCGTTTCTATTATCCAAACATCTTCGCGTTAATTTTCCACTATCGTTTTCCAAAACACGTGTTAAATAAATCCACTCGGGAAAATTCCTCGATCCAATCGCCTAAGTTCTTAAGTTCTTAACAAAAATACTTTCAAAAAAGTATTCTCTCGCGTCGTAAATACGTCATCGATCGATACGTTCGCTTTTATTTGCTTAAATTACACGAATACGAATCCCCAAACGGCGCAAAACGAAGAAACGTATTCGGTTAGATAAAAATAAAGGTCGATAAAGATCGTCGCCTTTTTTTTTTTTTTGCGCAGACAATTTTGTTTCGCGGCTTCTTTTTTTTTTTTTTTCGAGGTTTCGGCGAAGGCAGGCCGACGGATGCATCTGGTGGACGGGCGTGCAAAGCGAGGCCCGCGAGGGGCGGCACTTTTGTGCTGAATTATTGATGTCAACGTAATGGAGGTGAATGGGGCTGCGCAGAGATATACACGCGAGCCCTCGTCTCGCATGCACGCGGCCGGAAACTACGCCTCTCCTCTTCTCCGCGTCTTTGGACGAGCCACGGATTAATCCCCCAACTTTGACCTTTTATCCTCTCTGTCTGAGAATCGATCGCTCGTTTAATGGGCTACTGCTGAAAAATTCTCTGCTTTTCGCATTTCTATATATTTTTCGCGTTTGATTTAAAAAAAAGAAATGAACGATTTTAATCGTCGAGAAGAGGGAAAGGGATCGAAAAGCATTCCTGGATCATCTTTCTTTGAACATCAGAAGAAATATTCGATCAATTTTTAATAAGCGTTTTCAATAAGAATTTAGAATTAATCGAATATGGAGAAACTTCGATCTCGAATATAATATCAACAGTAGGTTATAGCGAAAGTTTTTCGGGATAGATCATCCGAGCCACTCGAAATCGAATAGTATCGATGCATTATTATTATTATTATCAAAGACAAAAGCGTGAGAATTTGGTTACATTTGGAAGAGAAAAATGATAAATCTGACCAACCGATCCGCGAATTGTTTCAGGGACGCGCAGGATGGCGTTGAAAACGTGCGCTCGACGCAACAACGTCGAGAACAACGTGTACGAATTTTGTGAAATATACGTGTATAGGCCGCGTTTCGTTAATTAAGTGAAGGAAGGCGCGTTGCGTTGCACGTTACGCGCAATTCGCAGTTTGCACAAGTAGAAGCGGAAAGAGAGGCGCGTTACGTTATTCAAAGTGTGTACACAAGACAGAACCGGAAGCGAGTCTGTACGCGTAACCGGGTCTGCAACCTCTTACACCAGTTGAATTTCACTCGTAATCGAAGGTTGCAAGCCTTTTGGCTACGAGAGATGGGTGAACCGAATTACGCGCACCGTGTTCACTTCGATTTTGACGCGCGAAACGGGTCGCGTTTCTAATTCATTGTGCTTCCTTCGCGCGAGAATTGCGTTGCCGTTTCGTCGTAATTAACACCGAGGTTTTTAGTCAGAATTTATTTTTCGATAAAGAGATCGTAAGAAATCGAACGATCTTGGTTTTATTTGTTATAGTTTTAAGAGATCGACGAAATTTGTCGACACATGTTTTTATAAAACATGTGTGAATTTGTACGATAACGACACGATTCGATGTAATAAAGCGATGTAGAAATGCGATACGAAAAAGTTACCATTCGAATCGTAATAATTGAGTTCTTACCGATGCGTACAAATTTTTCCTCGCAAAGTCTTGCGAGTAATATTTTTTTTTTATTTCGATATCTCGGTCTCGATAAAAGTTGACACAAAGTCCTTTTCAAATTCTTTCGCTTCGAACGTGTGTGAGTCGTGAGTTGAAATGCAACACAGGAATATTTTTATTCCAAGAAAGTTATTTCAAGTTATAACATTAATTCCTTTCCTTTTTTTTCTTCCTTTCCTTTTATCAAGACGTAATAGAAAACACCAATACAAATTTCGAAAGTTACATCGCGTGAATTTTATTACATTTTACGGAAAAATTAAACATCCGAATATTCTCTTATTGAAAATTGAAAGGAATTAAGGAATATACGGAAACAGGTAACATTAGATCATCGAACCGGCAACTTTCCTTACACTTACGATCTCGACGGCCAAGGTTGGTCCATAAGGAAGTTCGTGCGGCGAAGAAAGTTGATCGATATAATTTTACATGTTCCAACCGTCACCGATCCAACGCATCTTTCCTCCTCGCCAGGGAGGAGAGACAGGGCTAGCCTACTTTCTCTGCAAAGAGAATTTTTAACCGATGTGTGAGGACTCCCCCTCTTCCTGTCCTCTCCTCCTGAACATCGCCGCCAACTCTCTTCCTCCCTCCCTCCCTCCTTCCCACTCCCTTTCCCCCGTCTCTGTTCATTACTTCTCGCGCTCTCACTCCCTCCCTCTCCCCCTTCTCTCTCTCCTCTCTCGGCCCCTTGTCGTTTCCTCGATTTGCCCAACAAGCTCAGCCGAGAATTCCTCCCGACCGGTACCCCTCTCAGAGTCTATATAAGCGGAGTGTTCATACGAGACCGAGCATTTTTTGTGTTAGTAGTGACGGAGTCGTGGGCCTCCTCCGTCAAAGAGGTTGACTGCCGAGGTTGAAGAGTGTGTCAGGATGGTGTGCACCACGCGACACGAGAGTACCGTGTTCGATTGAAACGTCGTTCGAGGAAAAATCGTCGAGGGAAAAATCTTCCTTCTCCTTTCTTTCTTTCTTTCTTTCTTTCTTTCTTTCTTTCCTTTTTCTTTTCTCTCTCCCGCCTCCCGTCCCCCGCCTCTTGCCCTCCCCCCGTTCATTCCTTCTTTTTCTTTTTCCTCCGGTGTGTCGTCGACGAGAAGAGGAGGAGGAAGAGAAGGAGGAGAGGAAGAAGAAGAAGAAGAAGAAGAACACGAAGGAAGCAAGAATTTTTTTTTTTGTGCGTATACACAAGTGCACGGATGCAACCATGCTACGAGGAAAGGTAGGTGGATCTATGCTCGCTCGATGACGATCGATTTTTCTTTTTTTTTTTTTTCTCATTTCATTCACGATCCGTTGTGTCGTTCGTCACTGCTTCGAAGACGCGAGGAAGGAATATTCGAGTTTCTCTCTCTCTCTCTCTCTCTCTCTCTCTCTCCTCCTCCT